AGAGAGAGAGAGAGAAAGATAAGAAGCAGAGAGAAGGAAAGCAAAGGGAGGTCAAAAGAAACGGTTACAAAGACGGACGCGCGGGTTCGAGGCGGCTAGTTAATGCCGGACATTAAAAGGAGAGACAAAAGACAAAACAACGGCACGAGTTTTAATAAGGCGGAGTACGGGATTGGCCGGCCAGTTGGCTTCAATCAAGTCCCCGCGATCTTCTTCTCCGCGCCATCTCCACGAGGCCTTTGCCCATACCTTTTCCTCCCATCTACATGCGAGTCGACGAATTAAAACGTCTCCAACCACGGGAGACGTTATGAATTATCATTACCATCCTCCTCCTCGCACTTTCTCGCTTTTGTTCTCTCGAAAAAAATTCAACTCCGCCAATCACGGCTCAATTTTTTATCATTGAACAAGATCAACGGCACTTTACTCGAACGACAATTCTCGAAGAGCACAATTTATACACAGTTTCAAAGATAGAACGGATACCGACTCCGTCATCGATCGAGTAAATTCTTTCTCTTGTTCTTCCATCCAATCGAAAGAGAATTCGATTAAATTGAGATTCGATTAAACTAATCCTAATCTTTCCTTTCGCAGGTTCGAGGACAATGCACACGTCCCTTTTTTATAAATCGTTAATCACCGCAATCGATTCGTTCGGTTCATCGAAACAATCGTTATTCAACGTGGCTTCGAGTTGGCTTCGTCTAATTCTTTCTTTTTATTATTTCGTCCCCTTGGAAAGAAAACGGGTTCGAGAGTTCGGGTGGCGGAGGTAGGGCAGCAGAGCACGAGGAAAAGAAGAAATCCGGGCTGCTCTGACGGGAAGAAAAACATCGATAAAAGCCGGGCTGGTAGTAACACTAGTGTCAGAAGAGGTTGGAGGATCCGGGCCAGACCCATTGGCGTAGACCGCGTCCTTTTTTTTTTCTTCTCTCTAGGCTTCGATCGATTTTCCTCGTACCGCTTGGTAAACGACGACGACAACAAACTTCTTTCGTCTCTTCCCCCCTATCCTCGAGAAAGCTATTAAATTCGAACGACAAAAGTTTCGATCCGTTTTCCCTCTCGGTTTTTGCCACACAAGAAAATTTCTTACGCAACTTTTTCGATACGTAATGGATAATTTAATTGAAACAATTTGATTTTGCAACGTGATTCTAGCTAATTATAGATATTATTAAAAAAGTGAAAAATAAAGCGAGAGAAATTAGGAGAATCGTCGTAAATTTCACGAAGGACACGAAGCGATTAATAATTATCATTTCTCGATAAGGAACAATGGTAACAATTAGAGTTTACGACTTCCTGCGCCATTGGAGGTTCCTTACGGATTAACGGAACTCCCACGCGGTCTGTACACGATGTCTTTCGAGGCAAGTTCACGAAGTCGTGCCGTTTCCACACACACGAGCGCCCTAAGTACGCCCCCTGGCTGCCAATGCCTTGTCAATGGAATATCAATAAAGCGTGTATATACGAGGAACGCTCGTGGCGCCGCCGCTTCACACGGCACGACCGATTATTTCTCCCGCTTTCTCGCCTCCTGAAAAACGATTCCTACGAAAACTAACACGATCGATTCTTTCTTCGCGAATAAGAAAGACTTCTCCGTTTTATCCTAGCTGTTGGTGTTTCGTGGGTTTAACGAGAAAGAGTTGCTCGAAGAGAATAACCTCACTTAGGGAGAAGTAAGAAAAATATGAATATGAAGCGAAATTATACCGAACGTAAATAGAGGACGGTATGAAACAAGGCCGTAAAATGAGCTGTAGCTCTCTCAGGAGAGAGAAAGAGAGAGAGAGAGAAATTAAGTTTCATAAAGCACAAGCTGGTTATAATGATATTTGTTGGAGAGAAGAGGCGTTTAATTTATTCCACCGCGACAATGCCGCGGCGTACGTAAAAAATCTAAACCTCCCTCCCTCCCTCCCTTCCACCCCCCATCGGCCGACCAACGACTTCCCATTAATTTTTAACGAAGACTAATAATTTTTAATAAGGCGTAATAACGGTAATAAATATTAATTGCTGTGTCCTCGATGGGACACTTGAAAAATCGTGCCCCGCCCCGCTGTATCCCTCTATATATCGAGATAAAATAAGAATGAGAATTTTTCGATCGCGACGAAACAGAGAAAGGGAGAAGCGCGAAGAGGTGGCGAGACAGATGGTTTCCAGGACGGTTATTTTTTTCGTTGCGTTATTCTTTAATAATGTCACGCGTATGGGTGTGGTATAATAATTGCAAATGTATGCACTGGTGCAATTACACGTGACAAAAAAAAAAAAAAGGACGTGATATGAAAAAAAAATTTCAAAAATTAACGCGCAACATTATTCTAAAATGTTGTTTGCAAATTAAGTCGTCGTAAGTGTACATAATGAGAATGAGGATTAAAATTTCGCGACACGTTCTTTATCGTATAAATTCTTTCAAAGTCAATAAAGATCGTTTCGAATGTATCGTTCCTCGTACGAATAGAATTTTTTTCTTTTTTCCCGTTTCGTCTCGTAGGAATCTTGGCGGGCAAACCGGAAATTACGCGCAAGTTATAAAGTCGCGCGTGTCGCCGATTATATCGACGATTAATCGTAAATATGCGCGTTGGACGATCACGACGTAAGAATATCGTAAGAAAAATGCCGTCATATACTAGAATTGCTAATAGAAACGAGGTAATATCTGGGCTGGCAATATATATATATATATATGTACGCGTATTCCGGTATCCAACGTTGCCGCTTATCGAAAACCTTCATCTAAAAACTCTTCTCCCGTAATTAATGATCCCAGATAAATTTTCCATTGGCATCGACGCGAGAAAATGCGAGCTTTATACGCGTGGAAGAGACAAAAATCTCTTGATTCTAGCTAACCTGCCCTTGATACATTCTTTTTCATGTGTATAACAAACGTGTACATTGTTGACGATGGAATTGAAATGTGAAAAAATACGAGAAAGGAAAAAAATCCAACGGATATGTGGAAAACATCGTTTCGTTCGTTGGATCGATAAAAAATTATAGAAATGCGTCGCGACGTCGAAAAACTCGGTGCTCGATTTACGAGCGATCGGATGAAAAATGTTTAAGCCGGTAATGCCGTTCGAGGAATAGTAGAGGTATACTTTTCTTGGGGGAGTGGAGAGAACGATACAAGCCCAAGATTGTAAAAAAATCTAGGGTCAACCGAGGCCGTAAATCTTCAGTCGTAGATACACGTGTGGAAAGAATGAAAACGAATCATGCACAACCCCGACACAACCTTTCGTTACAATGTTCCTTTGGGAACGGTTCGAGCAACCATCTCGTCGAACAACAATAGTTCGCGTGAAGTAATTTTACGACAGCAAGCAAAAAACTTTATTACCAAAGCTTTCTCGATAAACTGAGAAACTATCTTATCGACGAATTTATCGCGCCCACTGTTTAATCCTGTCGGCTTGCTACCGATTACGTTCTTATTTACTCGCGTTAGTCAACTTTAAACTTTTGCGTTAGTCAACGTGATTTACGTCACGTAAATTTTGTTTCTACAAATTTTTACAGTTCGACGACTCGTTCGAGCTCTTACCATGCGCGTTTCAAATTATCGCGACGACAGTTTCGACGATAAAACGATAAAACTTAACCTTACTTGGTTTTTCGAAAAATTATATTCTTTCCATAAAAGACAAAACGATCGAAATAATTTTCAAACTTTGGACGATCCGTCCAGATTTTTTTGCGCAAGAATATAACATCGACGATCGCGCGTGCAGCATTTCCGACGAGGTTAGAAAGTCCTACCACACCGATACCTGTTGCCTTGGCTTCCGGCTAAAAGCATCTAGTGGAATTTTGATTACGAGCAAACAACTGTCAATGATGAAACATTGAACGCGTGAACGATATAATTAATTATTTTCCCACGTGGAGAACTATGGAAATAATAAACAATATTTCTTCATATTTTTTTTATCTATCGTACGAGATGAAAAATTTCACATTATAGACAGACATAAAGTATCCAGGAGGGTACTAAAGAAAAGAAAAAGAAAGTTTCTCGTTGCTTCGCAATGATTCAAAATTACGGAGAATGTCGTGCATATAAACAAAACGAGTGAAAGTCTTTCGAAAAGGTGCACGTGTCTGTCCGTTAATCGTATCATTTGACCGAGTCTAATTTCGAAATAAAACGGAGGAATATCGTTTGCGATCTAATAACGCGACAAAAAATTTAAAAAATTGTAAAAATATTCCATAAATCATTTGGAAATCGGGTCCTGTGCGATATGTTTTATAGAACGAAACGCTATATCGCGAACATGATTCGACAACGCGTACAACCAATCATTAATATATATATAAGATACGAAAAATTATTTCGACGCAACCGTTTCCGTTATCGTTCACCCACTAAATCCCGTTCGACCCAAGATTCCTAAGCCTATTTAAATTTCTAGAATTGCCTCCAATTACCAACGAGTTACCCGATTCCTAAACAAGTGGCCAACATATCTCGAGTTTCAACTGGAAATATTAGCCGCAAATTAGAATTCCTAACCAAACTTTACTCGAAGGGTCGAAGGATTGCGCATGCGCGCACGGTTCGGTTCAACCGAAACGAACGTTAATCGCGGAGCGATGCGATCAAGTTCGATAGTTGGTTGTCACGACGCGTGCGCGTCGCCGAGCAAAGCATAACACCGAGGATTCGCCGGGCGACCGGCGTGTAACAAGGGCCGTAGAAGGCGTGAATAACTATAAATGGAGATGGATGGAAGGAAAGATAGCGGAGTTCCCCGTGTTGCGTTTCCCGTGTGTTGGACGACCGGTCGCACGAGTGACGAACCACCAACCGCTCGACGAATGCTCGCACGAAACGCGAGAAAAAGACAAAGGGGGGAGGGAAGACGAGGTAGCGGACGGATGGATGATAGTGGGCCGAGATGTACGCGACGGGAATGCCACTGGTCGCAAAAATGATCGCGACTCGAGATGCCTCGTTTCCTAGGAACGACGCGCGCTTCTTTCCTACCATATATAGTGGACTCTCTCAGCTCCGCTCGACTTCTGTATCGAAAATTTTATATTTATCCACGCGAGCTTCCCTATTACGGTTGCTACCTGTTCTCCAATCGCACATATCCACGTGATAGCGCGCCTCTTCTCTTTTCTTTTCTTTCCTTCTTTCCTTCTTTCTTTCTTTCTTTCTTTTTTCTTACGTATTCCGAACGTGACTTCGATAGGGTTTTGTGACGTGTCGAGCGCGGAAAGAGGCTAGTGTAAATCATTTGTCTCTATCGTCTTGTAACCGTGCGTGATCATTGTGCTTAACAAGTTCCATATAAGACACGAGGGCAAACGAACTTTCGGTAATAAAACAAAAATCGATTCGTTTCTTCTCCCTTCTTTCTCAGACGCTTCGGTGTAAATTCAGATAAATATCCCGTCATCGCTTCGTCGTTTCGTACGTTATATTCTTCTTGTTATTTCAGAGAGATTTGTTTGTTTAAGTTTCCTCTCCGCTTAATCGATCGAAAAGTCAAAATACAGGCGAGAGAGAAAAGTGGATGTGGATAGAGGCGATGGATTTAAGAGCGAGATAAGATAGCTTACGAAAAGATTTGAGCGGGGAAAAAAGAAACTAGCAATATCTCTAATGTGACGCGTATTTCTGAATTACGCAACGATTAATTTATCATCTTCTTAATAATAAACCTTGAAAAGGTTACAAGAAACTAATTTGGTTTATCGAAATTTTTTTATCAATTCCAACAGCGTTAAAGGGGTCGAGTAAAAAAAAAATTCTTATTAAATTATCGATGTTCTCGTAGCATATAGTATAAAATAGAGAAATCAAAAAACGAAAGTTAAAGATAAACTTAACGAAGGAAAATAGAGATTTGCGTGCAAACAAGTGTGGGAAATTGATCGATTCGCTATGTACTTCGATGTCGCGATTATAGCTCGTTAAAGATGATAATAGCTATGATCGCGTTGAAATAAATCGGGCAATTTGTAATTTGTATCTAAACATGTTATTACACTACGTTAGATACATTCTGATATCTCTCGATTCGTCTCGAGAGTTGCATTCATAGTTCAAATTATCCCAACGAGTTTTTACCGGCTATCTTCATCGTATACGACATATTACGTTGGATCGATCGCTCGAGATGTGTATTCAGGGAAACAACAAGTTACAACAAATTACAAGTTATTCGTACAACTTGTACAATCTCTGGAAGAAAAGTTATTATGTAATACGAGCTCTTCTTTTATCTTTTTTCGATAGATAGCAGAAAAGATAACGATTGAAACGGTAAACAAACGAAAGGAAGCGTCACAGCGAGCGTGGTAGAGTTTAAGGCGAAATAAAATATTTATTTGGCAAGCGAACGGCACGAGACGAAAAATGAAACCAGACAAACGACTTCGTTTCAATTACTTTTCTTTCAACCACTTTGCCGCGTTGGAAGATTACGTTTCACGCACATCGATTCGACCGTCGTCGATCGGGACGCCGATTCATCACTGACAGAACACGAATCAATTTTTCGGGATAAACAATGCGCTTCCACTTTGTCGCACAACATCGAACCTTCGATCGTCCACTTTCGACGAAGAAAAAAAAAAAAAAGAACACGCTCGAGCTTTTGTCCGTACGTCCTTAAACGAAGCAACGTACGACGCTCGGTGTAGCGCGTCTCGGCACAAACTGAATGTAAACTGACTACCGATCCACGCCACGGTGATCCAAGATGCCCGTAAGTGGCCGCTTTGCGTCCGATTGGTCGAGGCCACTCATCTTCTCTGCCAAACAGCCATTCAGCTGTAAGGACGCTTTCGCTCTTCTGGAGAATAACGCGGGTAATTTGAAATTACTTTCTATAACCTTTCGTCTATTTCGTAAACCGTTTGAAACCATTAGAATTAATCAACCGGCAATTGATGCTTCTATTAACCCAATTTTTCCCATTATAAAATCGTCCACTTTAAATTAATAACCGCGTATATATTTGCATTGAAAATTACGTAAATTCGAAACGAATTAAATTAGAGTTGAAGAATCGGTGTAAAAAGATTCTTCGTGTTACGCTAAAAAAAAATGTTTCGTAACGCGTTCAATCAATCACGTTTGTTCTTATTTGTATGTATAAATTGCGATAAATTCGATAAACTCTTTCGAAAATATTAATTTATCCATATATACGCGAATATTCGTATTGGAAATAATATAAAACGTATAATAACAAACCTTTACCAATACATAGCAGATCATCGATTACGCAGAACGAGCGGAGAAAATATTGTTTGCAACAGGTTTGGTCGGCTCGTTAAAGGAAAACCGCAACAACTTCTCCCCGGCCAGTTGTCTCGTTCGATTAATTATGATTTAATTATCATTTGCACCAATTCGCTCACCACAATGAGAATAAACTCGACTAATCTCGCCTCGGAGTAGAGAGAAGGTTTTTTGCGCGGCGATTGTGCAGTATCGCGATGACGTCATAAATAGAAGGATACGCAAATCACGATATATACACGATTTAAAGCGCATTAAGCTCACTTTTTATCTCCAAGATAATCTATCCAGACAATAATAAGATACTCACGTTGGTCGATAACTGGCTTGTCAACGAGTGGACCTTCTCTTGGGCGTCTACCAATTCTCGACGTAATTTTCTCAGCTCGTGCGCCTGTTTCTCCTCGGCTGAACTGTATAGACTGCTTGCTGTCGATACCAAAGATACAGAAGAACCATGGACTGAAGGCAAAAGAAGGGAAAGTTCTTCTTTTTCCGTTCATTTTTCACGAGAGAGAGAGAGAGAGAGGAGGAAGAAAACAAACGAAACAAAAA